CTCCTTGTTTCCACTCATTGAAAAGTGGATGCCTATACTCCTCCAGATTTTATTCTTCCACAAAACCCATAGCTTACATAATGCATTCACTCACTTATTAATTTAAAGGTAAAGATTTAGTTGGCAAAAGATTCATTATAAGGAATTGTATCTTGTCTTTTAACTATGATTTCATTTTCTAAAGCTGTTACAAAGAGATAATTCTTTGTAATTTGTTTTAATCTTGATATAAATGATTTTTCTTTAACTAATCAATAAGATAAAAAATTCTACCAAAAAAAATCAATAAGATAAAATTAATATAAATAATGCTTTGTAAACAAATCCGTTGTTAATTTATAAGTCGTAACAAGGTTCAACCATGGGATCGAGTATTTTCTCACAAATCTTCTAATCTCGACGTACCCTGTTTTAAAGGTCCTCTGTTCTAAAAAAGGAAGATCAGAAGGAGATAAAATTTAGCTGCTAGTAATATGCTAGAATGGCAGATTCTGTCTGTAGGAGAGTTTGAACTATTTGACAGACAAAGAAAAAAAAAGGCCCAATGGTTTGAGGATTGGGCCCAAGCACTAGATTTTGATCAATTGGTCTCATTTTGAAAGCCCAATATTATAGACAACTGGGCTCAACCATTAGATTTTGTAATTTTTGATTTTCTAGCCAGAAATCAAAATGGGTTGCCAAATCTTTCATTTTTGTTTCAATTCGATTACAAAACGAAAATGATATGAAAAGATGAAATTTGTGCATCCTGAATCCTTCATACATATTTTTTTCAATGTGAAATCTAATTTTTGTAAAATCATGAAGAAGCACTAGAGATTTCAACTGAAAAACCATCTAATCTTTAATGGAATGCAGGTTATAAGCCAGCGTAAACAAACATTTATTACAACCAAAATAAAAATGGAAAATACTGCAAAGAAGAAAACAAGCATCCAATTATTTGATTATTACAAACTCCATTCCAGACAATAGCAAAGCACATCTCACAAAAGAAAAGAAACTAAATTACACAGATAAAAGGAAAATCCCCTTACTAATGGAATTTAAGAAACAAGTACTGCCTTGCCAAACCTTTGCCATGCTGAATTATAAATCTGAGAGCTTCATCTCTCAAATACCTTATAGATACCTTTGCTTCTTAAAACACGAAAACAAAATCGACGATTCAAGTGGCAAGCAAACTTACAATATGGTTCTGAACATTTGAAGAACACATTTTTACAACGCTTGCCACAGTCGTTGCATTCAAAGTACTCAAAATCTTCCTTCACAAAGGTGAGAGGGTGTGGATGAAAATCATATGTGGAAGTCAACCCGAGCTTCACATATGGGGATCCCCC